TCAGTCCAAAGACCAAGACTAGAAGTATTTGAGCAAGACCAAGTCTAAGACGAAATAAGCAAGACTCAGATTAAGACTGGGCAGTCGTGGTGTTGGTTCTGCTTTGCTCATCATTAGAATAATACTTACCGAATGCAGGATAAATTACTATACATTTAATATTTTTTTCACAAATGTGTTTTCAATTTCTACAGCTTTGCATCTGTCAACTTCGAAATGTATAAGGTAAAAACGGACGTAAATGAAAACTTGTTTTACTGTTTTTAATTGTCAGTTCCACCGTAATGCTCTAGTAAGCACTCAGACGTGCCAATATTCGAGACATTCAGGATTTGAGTTTAATTTTTGTGTTGTTTATTCTATGGGGAAATTTTCTAGGAAATTCTCGTCCTCCACTTTATCCACTCGAAATTCCCTGCATCAGTTTTAAACAAGCTCGTGATCGGTTACCTATAGGCTATATACATATTAGGTACGCTTTTGTTTGTGAACATAAAGAGTTTATGCAGCATGCCTGCGCTTTTGTTCGTAATGGTTAATATTGTGATGAAATACCGGCTGAATTAACTGTGATGCCTGTATATAGTAAGCCCCTTCGTAATAGATATATGCTATCGAAACATGTTAGGTAGGTAAATGTTAATGAAATGAGCTATTCAACGATAGAATGTTAAAATATTACTGTTAAAATAAAACTAGTGCTAGATTTATATATTACAATGTAAATCTTAGGGCCCCATCCCCAAAAATACATATTCATAAGGTTAACTCTATTTAGCCTAACACCTAAGCTTAACAAAGTAGATCTTAGGGTCCCATCCTCCAAAATAAATTTTCATAAGCTTAGCACTCTATAGCCTAACGCCCTTCTCTCTAAAATACATATCTAGAAGCTTAACAAAGTAAATCTTAGGGTCCTATCCTCAAAAATAAATTTTCATAGGCTTAACACTCTTTAGTCTAACGCCCTTCTCTCTAAAGTACATATCTAGAAGCTTAACATAGTAAACCTTAGGGCCCCATCCCGCAAAATACATATCCATAACCTTAACACTCTATAGCCTTAGACCCTTCTTTCCAAAATACATATCCATAAGATTAATATATATAGTTTAGGGATTACTTTTTAAAATACATATCCATAAGTGTAACAATCTATACACAACCTAGGGTCCCACTCTCCAAGGTGGATATCCACAAGCTTAACATTTATGGTTTAGGGGCGCTCTCTTAAAAATACATATCTATAAGCTCAAAAATGTATGTAGCTGTAGCTTATCGTCCTACTCTTAAAACTGCTTATCCATAAGTTTCATAAATCTATTGCCTAGGGCTTCACTCTTTAAAATATATTTCCACAAGTTTAACATTTATAGCATTATAGCAAAATACATATCCATAAGATTAATATATATAGTTTAGGGATTACTTTTTAAAATACATATCCATAAGTGTAACAATCTATACACAACCTAGGGCCCCACTCTCCAAAGTGGATATCCACAAACTTAACATTTATATTCAAACGTATTTCACGAAGAAAGTAGACAGTAAAAGAGTTCTATTTGTCATAAATTGTAAATATATTGAAGAGCTATAATTTATAATTTATATATAGTACAAGATAGACCTTGTGACGTCAGTAGTTTGGAGCTTCATCAAACTTAAAATTTTGATCAAAACAATGTCTACAAAATAAAAAATAAATAAATAATAAGTAAAAACCCAGCATATAAACTTACTAGTGCTGTTTTCCCCTAGCTTTTATTCTACTTTATTTCATAGTAGTTTTTCTGATTTAATTTTAAAAAAGGGTTCCGTACTTTAGAATGAAAAAACGGAGAGGTTACAATATAGAATCACTTTTTGTCTATTTGTACTTAAAAACCTTTTTTGCTGGAATGGATAGAGGTAGCAAGTTGAAATTAGTGTCAGACACTAAGGCTTATGACCCAACAGTTCTGTAAAAAGTTTCTAACTCAATGAAGTAAAATGATAAGACTAATGTTAAATTGATTTCCGTTCAACTTTTTATTCATGTGGTTTTTAACAAAATACATCCACAGAAAATTTAGTTATTAAAAATTTCCAATCTCGAATTATTTTTTAATAATTATTAAACCTGTGTCCAAAAGTTTGGTGCAAAGTTTGAGATAGTATTAAAGCAATTTCACAAAAAACAAATTCGCTTCGGGTTACTTTTACTTTTTAATTAATTTTAAAATTTACCGATATGGTTATCCGTTTAATCCCGTAATTTCGTTGAGTACGAATTTTATTTATGTTCAGCCATTCTTTTTTCTTCTTATTTTCCTTCCATTAAGAAATCGATCTGTTGCGTGTTTCAATTTTTAATCGGTTAATAATATTCATGCGAATATAACAGATTAATTAGACCGTTTTGCGTGTTATTTTTGTCGTCAATGCAAATGTAGACATGGATGATAATTTATCGTTGTTGTATTACGTTTAGTATGTCATGAGGTATGTTACATGAATGGTATCCTAACTAGACATTTGTAATTTGCTAATAACTTCTCTGATGGATATTAAGTAAATTGTATTTATAAGCTTGCCAGTGAACTAAATAGGCAAACAGTTTCGAAACTTTAAGACATTAATTTGATAATAATACGAGCTCGGGTTTTCGGGTGAGTTTGTATGCCGTCAGAGTACGAGACGCAACTTCTCACAGTTAGTCTTCTAATGCAAAAGTTTCAGGAACTACTCAAACGTAATGTTTCAGTGTTCTGTCAGGATTACAATTTGTACAAATAAAATTTCAATATTTGGTGAATGTGAGATGGTGCTTAAGGCTTATTAAAAACCAACATTTTAACTGATTGCCAAACAAATGCTAAGTGAAATAAATAAACAAGTTGCTTTCTGATACTGCTAATATGTATCCGGGTAGTAGAATACGGAAAGGAGCATAAAAGATACGGATATTGTTTCATCATCATCATAAGTCGTCAGTCCTAAGACTGGTTGGACACGCACTCCACTATTTCCTATCCCGAGATAGTCTTCGAATTTCCCTAAAATAGAACATCCTACATCCTTAACTCTTTGCGAACAGTAATCTAATCTAGGTCTACCTGTACCCCTCTTAACTTCCGTTTCTGCATTTAATATGTCTGACTAGACCTTCATGCCTGAGAAATAGTCCCCAACTTATTTTGCCTATTTCTTATTGATTTCTCCTGTTCTTTCTAATATCTCTTCCTTTCTAATCCACGGTATCCTCATCATTCGCCTGTAACACCACATTTCGAACGCTTCTTTTCTTTTCCGCCGCGCCCACCGTCCATGTTTCGCACCCCTACATTCCAAACATACACCTTTAACAACCTTTTTCGAATTTCTAAATTAAACGTTTGCGAGCATAGAAATGATTTCTTTTTATTAAAGGTGACACAGATCCTGCGCTATCCTCTGCTTTATATCCCTACTACTCCTTCCGTCCTGACTTATCTGACTTCTTAGATACCTAAAATCAGCTATTTCTTCCAATTTTTCGTCTCCTATCTTTATATTCTCTCTTTCCCTACTTTTTCTTCCCTTGCATACCACTATTTTTGTTTTACTTTTGTTTATTTTCATATAGTACTGCTTTGTCAGTACCGCTTCCATTTTATTTAAAGCTATGCTGCTAATATACAAATCTAAACAGATTAATCTTTTACCGCTGTATATCTATCCCTACAGTTGTGCTGTCTTTAATGTGTAATTTAAAAAGTAGCGGTGACAGTGTACATCCCTGTTTGACTCCCTAACATTTACTTCTCTACGTTGCTGCTCCAGCTCTATAACTGCCTGTTGCTCTTTATACAAACTAAGTATCACTCTTCTATTTTTATTTTAATGGATATTGTTTACTTAAGAATTAATTTAATATCTTGTTTAGTAAGTATACTTGCAATCAACACCATTTACATGGCTCATTTAAGATCAATCTTAATCAGTTGTTATTTTTTAATAACTACGACAAAAGAAATGTCGCAAGATACAGCTAGTTAGTTCGAGTACATCGAAGATAGCTCCGCTATCGATTTCCTGCGGCATTCATTCATAAAAAAATATTTTTGTAAGAACATTGAAATCACCTTAAGTACAAATAGAAGTTTACGCAAATACTTATGAGTTTGTATATTTACAAAATATACTTTTAGGTTAAATCTTTACATTTATAAACATCCTAAAGCCTTTAAAATCATTAGGAATGGTCAAAATCTCCAGTTTTATTATGTTTATTTAAGTACATGCAAATTCGTCTTTCGTCTATTTTAATGCCTCTATTTGTACTATTTTCACATTTTAAGTTCTTATATAGGTACTATTGTTTAACTTTTGCTATTTTGGGCGCAACTTTTCCTACCGATTATTATATATTGTGTATAGTTGCAATTTACCTTTATTCGTTTCCAACGTGTTATGTGTGTACGGAATCTTCGGCTCGCGAGTGTGGTATCGGTCAAACTCGCACTTGTCCGCTGCTTATTACAAGAAGCGTGGCAACCATGAAAGTAAATTATGTTGGTAATGTATTTGCGGGTTGTAATCATCTAAGGAGTACCTATTGAATTATTTCTTGTTGTTGCGTCGAAGGAAAGTGTTTGCAGGAAATTTATTTAAGCCAAAATTAGGAATACTTATTAATGGTAAATTCATTATTCTATTTTTGATACGTTATTATGTATTATTTAAATGTAATTATTGAGATTACAGTAACGATTAATTTTGATTTCATTGCTAAATGTAATGAGGTCTTATGATATAAGAAATACTGTCTAAAGGTTACAGTCTTGATAGTTTATACCTCGTATTTGTGTTTGCAATTGTGGAATTAAAATGCTATTTGATTGTTAGATAAGTTCTGTTCGTTATTGGGATATAATCTAATTAATTGACTTTAATTTTAATTTTTTTAATTATTTTTGGTTTCTAATATTTTAGTACGAGTATGATTATTATTATAATGTATGTTTTGTTTATTACAGAAGACCAGAAGAGGTTTCAAAACAACTTCAGATCGCAGAATTGGTAAGTCATATTTGCTTTTTGAAAATACAATTTTTACTTATAAGATGCTCATTTATCAATTTGTTAATTAGGCTTCTGTTATTAATAGAAAATGTTGTTCTTAATGATTTTGAGTCGACATTTCATCCCTGCCAAAGTTCGTCGAAGTTAAAAGTGTTTAAGAAGGTTCTTTTTGACTTACTTTTAAAGAAAATTTAATTACTTAGGTATCTACAAAAATTGTCACTGTATTCCGTTTATGTAAGCTTAATCATTAATAGTTTTTTTAGAGAATTAAATTTCCTATAAAAGAAAAATTAAAATTCTATTTTGTGGAGATTAAATTTTCTACAGAAATATGTTCAGAAAAAATTTAATTAGGTTAATTAATCGTCGCATATTTTGACACTAGGTACTTCGTTGACCTAGAACCATGAAATTTGGCAGGAAGTAATGTCTTAGCGCACAATTAAAAGTAAAAGGTAAATGTCTAGATGGGGGTGGAGGTGGGGGGGGGGTCGAAAGAGGGTTGTCACCTGAGTAAAACCTCATAAAAAATTTGCGGCGGTCTCACCCCCATAACAAGTAATGGAGGTTGAAAGTCGATTATTTTGACAATTTTTATACACTATAATTCAAATAAAATTCAATAAAAAAATTATTTTCAAGCGGGTGGAGGTGGGGGATCGAAAGAGGGTGGTCACTTGAACAAAACCCGATAACCTAACCTAACCTACCCTATTGATAAAGATATTTAAATAATGTTTTATATAACTTTCTCAATATTTTTATGTATTTCTCATTACTTTTACCTTTGAATATTGTTTAAGAATGACTATATAAATATTTACATGCCTAGAAATGTATAAAAATTGGCATATTTATTAACTTTGAGCCCCTATAACTTTTTATGGGGGGTGAGACCGCCACGAACTTTTTATGGTACAGTGGTAGGGGGAAACCTCCTCCTTCGATCCCCCCATCCCCACCCCGAAGGTGGTGGGGGTCATCATCTAGACCTTTACCAAGTAAAATTGTAAATTTGCAATTACATCTAGGAATCCCCGGAAATATAGACACCCATGAAATTGGCCGGGTATAATCAGTTTTGTATAATTAAGGTGAAAACAAAATTCGACTTGTTAAAGCTTGTTCATTTCATCATCATAAGGTCGTTGGACACGCACCTCCACTCTTTTTTATGCTGGAGCTAATCTTCGCATCTCCCTAAAACTAGAACAGTAATCTAATCTAGGTCTATCTCTCTTCCTCTTAACTCCTGTTTCTGTCTCTAATATGTCACTGACTAGATCTTCATGCCTGACAAGGTGTCCTACCAATATATCTCGCCTATTTATTATTGACTTCCAATCTTTTTCGAATTTCTAAATTAAACAATGTTTATTTACTGTTATTTTTTACATTTGATCGGTTTTCCGCCAAGCGCACAATCTTAAAATTTCTGAGCTAAATATTCAGCAATTTTCATGTTTATTCATCATAATCAAACTGACTTATATACAAACAGTGTGATGCAGTTATTGCTTCGTTCTGCCTTTGATTTATTGTACTATATTAACTAAATATGCAGTTAGTCCTTCGTATTTGCTTTTTTTTATTTATTTAAGCAAATTTTGCGGAAATTCGTTCCGTCTTGTATAAACTGCATGTGCAAACTTCGTTCGGCAGGTTGCAATAACAAAGCGTCGTTTTAATACCTGCATCAAAATTATTCCTAACTGATTATTATTCGAACGCTGCACCGATGGAATATAATGAGAGTTGTTTTAAGTGAAACTTAGTTTCCCAGTAATATCCGTGTTGATGGGATGCTGCAATTTCGGGTTGACGATGGGATGATGCCGGCAACATATTTCATACAAAGGAAGTTCGCAAACCACAAATCAATATGTGCTAGTTGGAGTTGCATATGGGATGAAGGTGAATAGTTAAACGCTGAAGGTTTACTATGTAATCTATAAAGGTTAAAAGTTGCCTACAATATTTGAATTTTAAGGGGGTTGATTATGTTTTTTTCGGAAAAATGCGTATATATTTTCTAAGCTTTTGAAAATGTTAAATGGGAGAAGATGTTAAATATACTTAAAAATGTAGGGATGAGTTATGGAGGTAGAAGAGTGATACTTGTTTATACAAAGAGCAACAAGCAGTTACAGAGCTGGGACAGCAACGTGGAGCAGTAAATATTAGGAAGGGAGTCGGACAGGGATGCACACTGTCGCCGCTACTTTTTAATCTATACATCGAAGACGCGATCCAGCATCATCAAAGACAGTACAACTGTAGGGATAGATATACAGAGGCAAAATATTAGTATGCTTATATTTGCATATTTGTTTTCCTTTCCGCCGCGCCCATCGTTCATGTTTCGCACCCGTACAGCGCCGCGCTCTAAACATATACTTTTAACAATCTTTTTCGAAATCCTAAATTAACCGTTCGCGAGCATAGAAGTGACTCGACCCTGCGCTATCTTGTTCTTTATATCCCTACTACTCCTTTCGTCCTGACTCCCTAAATATAGAAAATCAGCTACTTCTAATTTTTCGTTTCCTATCTTTATGTTCGCTCTTTTCGTACTTTTTCTTCCCTTGCATATCAGTATTTTTATTTTACTTTTAGTTATTTTCATACAATACTGTTTTGTCATTACCGTTTTTATTTTATTTAAAGCTATCTCTAACTCTTTATCGGCTATATCATCTGCAAATCCAAGCATACTAATCTTTTGCACCTCTATATCTATCCCTACAGTTGTACTGTATTTAATGATGTTGATCGCGTCTTCGATGTATAGATTAAAAAGTGGCGGTGACAGTGTACATCCCTGTCTGACTCCCTAATATTTACTTCTATACGTTGCTGCTCCAGCTCTATAACTGCCTGTTGCTCTTTATACAAACTAAGTATCACTTTTCTATCTATGTAACTCATCCTTACATTTTTAAGTATATCTAACACGTTGTCCCGTTTAACATTCTTAAAAGCTTTTTCTAAATCTGCAAATCCTTTGTAGTTTTTCTTATTACTGTCTAACAGAAATTTTATGAAACATTTTAAACATTATGCAACTCTATTATAGTTAACATGTTAACCAGCACATGTCGGGATCAATGTGGTCAATTCCCAACAGTGCTTTAGGTTGCTGTTGCTGTTCCTCTTCCCATATTTTTACAATTCCCGTTTTTGTGTAAATACCTAAATAACAATATAAATGTAATCCTGCTGGACCTTTAAATATCCCGTTCGCTCCCGCGCCTGTGCCTTCTCCGGTCGCACCGCTCTGGTTTGAGGGACTCTTTAGCCTTCGGCGTCGGCGTTGCAAAATCCTGTATGTATTGTTAAATTCAATTTTGTCAGTTCGATTTTGCTTGCAGCAGAAAACCGACTGTGAATTCCGTGACTTTCATAAGTGATTAGGGTTACATTCGTACGTTGCAAGCTCCCGAAGGACAGTTTTATATGTAAGGCGCATAGTTCTCAACCCCCTCCCTCTCCACAAAACATATGCTACTCCAGAAAATAATTTCGCGTGGCATTTTTCGAAAAAGCGCTCACAGATGCGAATAGAAATTCGAGAGATTGAATTTGTTATTTTAGAAACACAAATAAAATGAGAAATTGTAACATGCATTTGTTGCGATGTATTTTACAAATTTTTTGAACCTTTCGTGAATTCGATTTGTTACGTAGGTCTGTAAGCGCTGGCTTCCCCGGTCATTGTTTAATTCAATACAAATTATGAAGATTGGAAATGCTTTGGCGATTGTTGTAGAACAAACAGAATAGCTCATAAATCCCAACGCCAAAACACGACACTGTAGTTGTCCGAGGCACTTTTCGGTAACAAAGTTACCTTCTTCAGGGACTGAAACATATTAGAGGCGGAAACGGGAATTAAGGGGGGTAGAGGTAGACCTAGGTTTGGTTACTGTTCGCAAATAGTTAAAGATTCGGGTTGTTCTAGAGTAGTTCAGGATAGAAAAGAGTGGAGGTGCGTGTCCAACCAGCCTTAGGACTGACGACCTTATGATCATGATTTTTATTTATTTACGTACCATACTGTGCGTTGTAAAACTTATTTATATTTATCTGCTATATTCACATGCAGAACTACACGATTCTGAATGTGTAATCAGGAAGGAAACTGATAGATATGCATGACGAGAGCCCTTTCTATGTTAACCAAATGAGCGTTGAGGTAAAGACTAGTTTGCATAATGGAATCGTCATTGATACTGGCGCTGTTTTGCTCAAACATTGAGGTTTATTGTATGTGCGATATGTAAGAAGCATATGGTAATCAGAAATAAAGCGGTAACATGTTCTCATTCTCTGTAACGAACCAGGCATCGATTTAAGTAGGTACATGAACTGAGTAATGAATGTTTGTTATACAAAGATGATATTGAAATAAATTTTGAATCGAAAAAAGAAAACGGACTTCTTGTTACCATTTATAGGGCAAACAAAAAAGCTGTACATTTTGTATCGTGTGTACGCATTAGGGTGGTTCGTTTGAAAGAAACTATTGTTTCCTTCGCCCTTATACCCAAAAATATTCAATTTGTTGGGAAAAAATCTCCACAGAATACATTAGAGAGGTCGAAATGTACATAATTTGTATGATGTGGGAATTCGTTCTTTTTGCAATATAGTTCTAGCAAACTTCAAAAAAAATCATATGTCGACTTTGTTATTAGGGTGTCAGCGAAAGTAGGTATGTATAATACGTTAACGTCAACAGGATTCTAAACAAATCGTATCAAAATCCCAGTCGGTTTTTCGTTTAAACAAACAGGCTTCAAAACGTGGATTTTAGGATTTATAGAAGTAGTTTTATCTCATCTAATTTATGGGAACTATTTCTTGCACTCCCTAGATTGCAACATAATTAAAAAAGAACATCCATGGAGGGGAAACTCCTAAACCCCCCGTAATTACCCCACTGATATTTCTCTTATTTTGTAATAAATACCGAATAAGTGTACTAGCAGTTA